AGTTAATGTCCTCATTACAGTTAGTTGATTAAATAGATCCAAGATTAAGTCACAACATAGTTAATGTCTTCATTACAGATAGTTGATTAAATAGCTCCAAGATTAAGTCACAACATAGTTAATGTCCTCATTACAGTGAATTGATTAAAGAGCTCCAAGATTAAGTCACAACATAGTTAATGTCCTCATTACAGTTAGTTGATTAAATAGATCCAAGATTAAGTCACAACATAGTTAATGTCCTCATTACAGTGAATTGATTAAAGAGCTCCAAGATTAAGTCACAACATAGTTAATGTCCTCATTACAGTGAGTTGATTAAAGAGCTCCAAGATTAAGTCACAACATAGTTAATGTCCTTTAATCTTGGATCTATTTAATCAACTCACAGTAATGTTGGATCTATTTAATCAACTCACAGTAATGAGGACATTAACTATGTTGTGACGGTATATTAAATATATTTTGTTAGCAGTAAAATACCTCGATTAATTTTGGAAATTTTGTTCTAACAAGTATATTACTAAAGTTAAAAGTTTTAGTTAGATTTTTGTACAGAAATGAAATCAAGTTTTATTATTTTCAAGACTTTACCTTGAACTTTAAAACTCAGTTGTAAAGATTCAAACCATTTTCTACTGAAACAGCATCAGACAGTGACATTTCTTGATATTGTTTTCTTTCTCGTATATCCTCGAAACAAGGAAGTTTAGGGCTTAAAAACGTAATTATAAAGACTGCGATCATCAGATTTATTTCAGATTATGAAAATAAAAATTCCTCACCTTTTTTTAGGTGTTATAAACACATTTACTTACAGAATACGTCGCTTCGGACACCTCAGGCTCTTTGGCCTTCCTGACCTTCTTCTTAGCTCTTGCGCCCCAGTAAGTGTAGTTTACAGCAGCATACTCCAGCAGTGCGGCGAAAACGAAGACGAAACACATAACCAAATAAATGTCAATAGCTTTAACATAGGAAATACGGGGTAAGGAAGACCGTACTCCCGTACTGATCGTAGTCATGGTTAACACGGTGGTTATACCTAAAAAATAAATGTGAAGTAATTTTAACTCACTCTTTAAACTACCACTTGTAAACGTTTTATCACATTCTATATTAGACCAGTTACCGTCGCTAAACAATGTTAGCAATCACTGAAACTTTCTAAACGATGTAATAATATGTGTAACAAGTAACTAAATAATTTCTAAACAATGTAAAAAGACGTAACCAGTCACTAAGGTGTTTATAAATGATATAAAAAAACGTAACCAGTCACTAAAGTGTTTATAAATGATATAAAAAGACGTAACCAGTCACTAAAGTGTTTATAAATGATATAAAAAGACGTAACCAGTCACTAAAGTGTTTATAAATGATATAAAAAGACGTAACCAGTCACTAAAGCGTTTAGTGTATTGTACTGTAGTGAGTATCAAAGCACCTGAAAAGCCTGACCATTATCAAGTAAGGCTAACATTAATTTATATAAAGTCCGATTGTATTGTTATGTTAACATAAATATTGTCATTTAATAAGTCGCATAAAGTAACATTTTACCCAGAGCTACTCTTGCCGACGTGGCTTCGTGGTTTATCCAAAACGAAACCCAAGATAGCATCACAATCAGAATGGACGGCAAGTACGTCTGGAAGATGAAGTAACCAATATTCCTCTTCAGCTCAAAACTCAGAGAAAGACGCTGGTAGATCCCTGTTAACGTTACTTGACTTAACCATGATATCAATACAACTGTTTGAAATTCACTTAATTATGACAGAACGTGATATTAATAAAGACGTTTGAACTTGTTTTAACTGTTCCAGTTATCTTACCATTAACTAATCACACACAATATACTTCAACATTTTTGCTTTCATAGTTACGCCATCTTTAGAGTTCTTTTGGAGTTGTCTCTAGGGGTAAATAACTTTATGGGCTTTTGTAGGTAAATTTATCTGTTTCTTAGTACGCATTTATCTTTTTCTAATTCATTGCTATGATTGTTTTTACAATCATATAGCATTTTAAAGTGTTTTACATGAGTAACAGGGAACAGACTGTATAACGACGAAATATGTCTCAACAACAGCGATTCAAAATTTCATGTGTTATTTCGACAGAGAACGCTATTTCGACTTTTTTTGATCTTTAATTAACTACAATTCATATCCTAAAATAAACGTTTTTTTTCTATATACTTCGATTTAAGATAGAAAATAATTTTGACCTGAATTAACTCACTTATTTAGTAAAGTCCTTGAAAATAAAACATGTACAGTAGTCTGTTTTTAGTCGTCATCGTGTGTTACAACTAATTTCGTTTTTTACCTGTGGCTAGAACTTCTGACCTATCTGTAGTTTCGTAACGTATGATTGAGAACTGGGGTAACTTAGCATCTTCCACACCGACAACAGGGTAAGGCTTCCAATACATTACGACATCTCGTACGGTGTATCCATCTAGTGGAAAAAAACAGTTATCGAACTGACACCGCATAAGTCAACCAATAATTTAAACTAATAACATTAAACAAGTTAATACATATGACTCTAGTTATTGATAAAGTTAGAGAAGAAAAAAACAGAACCAAAAACTAAATTTTGAAAAGTAAGGTAACTTAACAAATGACAAGTTGACCCAGGTTTGAGCCCTTACGAATTGTTATCTTTTGCTGCAATCATTCTTCAGCGATTAATTAAAACTCGAAATATTTGTATTGTTATTGTATTAAATCAAGTGCACAAAACAGAAAAGGATGGCTTAATTTCAGCTTCTCTTGCTTGTTTGTTGTTTTCAGAGAGGTCGAGAAGAATAAGGTTAAACTGTCAGGAAAAAACATCAAATAACAGATAATGCTTCAGATCTTCAGTAATCAGGCACGAACATCAACCCAAACAAAGCCAATGTTTCATATCTTCAGTAATCAGGCACAAACATCAACCCAAACAAAGCCAATGTTTCATATCTTCAGTAATCAGGCACAAACATCAACCCAAACAAAGCCAATGTTTCAAATCTTCAGTAATCAGGCACAAACATCAACCCAAACAAAGCCAATGCTTCATATCTTCAGTAATCAGGCACAAACATCAACCCAAACAGAAACAATGCTTCAGATCTTCAGTAATCAGGCACAAACATCAACCCAAACAAAGCCAATGCTTCATATCTTCAGTAATCAGGCACAAACATCAACCCAAGCAAAGCCAATGTTTCAAATCTTCAGTAATCAGACACAAACATCAACCCAAACAAAGCCAATGCTTCATATCTTCAGTAATCAGGCACAAACATCAACCCAAACAAAGCCAATGTTTCAAATCTTCAGTAATCAGGCACAAACATCAACCGAAACAAAGACAATGCTTCACAGCTTGAGCAAGCGGATAAAAACACCAACCCAAATACAGGTAAAGCTTCAAGTTTGAGTAAGCAGGTTAAGCCATCAACCAAAATACAGGCAAGGCTTCAAACTTTGAGTGAGAAAGAAAATAATCGACCCAAGAACAGACATTATCTCAAAGTCAAAAAGGTTGTAGGTAGACTTTACTTCTGCTCCATGTTAACAACGTTACACACTTTAGTTCTGCTCCATGTTAGTTCTGTATCATGCTAACAATATTGTACATCTTAGTTTTGTTCCATATAACAAAGTTACATACCTTAGTTCTGCTCCATGTTAGTTCTGTATCATGCTAACAATATTGTAGATCTTAGTTCTGTTCCATATTACAAATTTCCACACCTTAGTTCTGCTCCATGTTAGTTCTGTATCATGCTAACAATATTGTAGATCTTAGTTCTGTTCTATATTACAAAGTTACACACCTTAGTTCTGCTCCATGTTAATAATGCTGTAGACCTTATTTGTGTTCCATATTAACAAGGTCCCAAGTCTTATTCCTGATCCATGTAAACAAGTTTTTTTTTTCATGTGAACGAGGTTCCAGACTTACTTTAGTTTTGTTTCATGTTAATAAGGTCCCAGACATAGGCGTACGAGGCGGAGACAGCCCCTGTAGCTTGTAATACATACGACCATTTGGGCAAATTTTCAGTTTTCATTCGGGAGAAACTGGTAGCAGAAATTTCTTACTCATAATATGATTAAAAATAAAAATTGTACAACATCCTTTCTGACCTTAGTTCCCATGTTAACATGGCTCCAGACCTTAGTTCCCATGTTAACATGGCTCCAGACCTTAGTTCCCATGTTAACATGGCTCCAGACCTTTAAGATTCCTTGCAGATTTATCTGTATGATTTGTTTGAACTTCAAGTTTTAAGATTCCTTGTCAGTCTTTTTCATGGTCTGACTTTTCAATCATACAACGAATCATGTCTGAACAACTTAAAGAATTCTAGATTTTAAACTTTATCGATATTGTCAAAACACCTTCCTAATCCAACAGTAATCTATTTATTTTCTTATATATATTGCTCAAATGATGACTTGAGTTCTAAGTAAAAATTAACAGCATCAACACTTTAGTAAGTGATTCAATGAAACAAATTAAATTCTTATAGATGTATCATATTTTATAATCAAAGTTATCAAATTTCCCACATAAACATGTTCATATCCGAATTCCATAACTAACAAATATGTGAAAAAAAATACTGCAGCAGAGAAAGTTAGGGAAACTTGAAGGTTTCTTGTTACTTACAACTTTCTATCTCTACTGTGCAATTTTGGGAGTCTAGGGGATAGTAATGTAGGTCCATCATACAGGCCAGCGTTGTGGTAAACCTGTAATGTTTTCGATAAAGAAGTCGTTACTGGATACTTACCATGTGAAACGAATGAACAAAAAACCTGCTAACATTAGACATATCAGTAACAAACATAGACTAAGTCATGACTCGGAATTTTAAGCGAGATACGAGATTACTGTGCTGTTATGACGTCAACAGTGGTTGCTAGAGGAGACGGAGACATTGATTTTGAGCTAATAAGAAGGTAGGATCACATTTCAAGACAAAGATGCATGCAGAAAATAAAAATGTAAGAAAAGTGTTCACGAACAAAATTACATTATGTATGTTTCTAGCATGATACTTCACAAAGACTTTATAGAATTATAATAAAACAAAGTAATACTTTACACAACCCTTTATATAACTGCAATAAAACAAAATAATACTTTACACAGCCCTTTATATAACTGCAATAAAACAAAGTGATACTTTACACAACCCTATATAAAATTAAAATAAAACAAAGTGACCCTTTATAAAATTGTAATAAAACAAAGTGATACTTTACACAACCCTATATAAAATTGAAATAAAACAAAGTGACCCTTTATAAAAATGTAATAAAACAAAGTGATGCTTTACACAATCTTTATAAAATTGTAATAAAACAAAGTGATACTTTACATAATCTTTATAAAATTGTAATAAAATAAAGTAATACTTTACACCCTTTATATAATTGTAATAGAGCAGACGGACACTTGATAAAACCCTTCATTGAATTGTAATAGAGTAGGCGGACACTTGGCAAAACTCTTCATTGAATTGTAATAGAGCAGACGGACACTTGACAAAACCCTTCGTTAAATTGTAATAGAGCAGACGGACGCTTGACGAAACCCTTCATTGAATTGTAATAGAGCAGACGGACACTTCACAAAACCCTTCGTTAAGTTGTAATAGAGCAGACGGACACTTCACAAAACCCTTCTTTGAATTGTAATAGAGCAGACGGACACTTCACAAAACACTAGAACCAATAGCTATTCAAACTAAATCTCTATCTTTAGAGGCATTTTTGATGTTTGAAAATAATTTATAATTAAAGTATCACAAGCATAAATTATTAACATATATTTTTAGAAACTTTTTAATCTTTCAAATCTAATCTCTATGTTTCTCAAGTGGAAAATCCTTCATATAAAAAATCCAGAAAGTATTTTACACAAAGGAACTTGTACAATTTTCATTTTAAGAGTAACAAATAAATATGTTATATATGGTGCCTAATCGTTATGGAAGTTTCAAAAGTAAACCTACTTTTAAGTCAACAGTGAAGTAAATGAAATATTTCAATACATGATATATCAGCCAAACAAACGAATAATTATATTTAAATACAATTTACACTAAGGCTAAAATATAGAAATGGATCAACTTGAAACACACCTCATGCCATATACAATATGTCCGTCGGACTGTAGTCTCACCATTTTGTTCTTTTCAGTAACTTGATGGAGAAAAGAGTTTTTGTCATTAGCGAAGAATGTATCCGGCACCCAGATCTTGTCAGCAAAGTCTCCCGTGAGAGTCAACTCGTACGAGTCGTTGCTAAAAGCCAGACGACTGTCTTGCCAGTACTGGTTAAGATACAGGGTGATTGTGTAATCCTGCAAAATAGTTACATCAATAAAAACGAATGGTGAAAATTAGAAAATAGATACTGTACTAACTAAAAAACACATAATAATACATAATGGGAAAAAATCAATGTACCTAGACGTATATAGAAACATGTTTTATAATCCTTGGAATACTTATAACAATAACCTACAAATAAATATTGTTAAAAATATATCATAATTCTTGGAATACTTATAACAATAACCTACAAATAAATATTGTTAAAAATATATCATAATTCTTGGAATATTTATAACAATAATCTAATAAATAAAGAATGTCAAAATAATATAGATATCTATAAAGGTAAACAGCACTTTTGTAAAAGTTAATTAAACTAGAGCATTCCACAACAAACTTTTAATACAAAAAACATCAATCTCTTTTTCGATACTTCCTACATTTTAGGCTAATCTTAATTTATCAAAGGAAAACTTTCATCTGAACAAATTTAAGTTTTGAATTTATATTTGAATATTTCTACTAATAATCATTTGTCAATTAAAAAAGCTGACTTGTTCTACTGAAATTTGTCTAAAACACCTGAAGATTAATAATGATGTTACGACAAACACAATTATAACAATGATGATCAACAAACTACAAAAATTAATCATATCATACTGTTACAACAACGATGATCAATAAACTATGAATATTAATAATGATATTATACTGTTACAATAACGATGATCAACAAACTATGAAGATTAACAATGATATTATACTGTTACAACAACGATGATCAACAAACTACGAAAATTAATAATGATATTATACTGTTACAACAACGATGATCAACAAACTATGAAGATTAACAATGATATTATACTGTTACTACAACGATGATCAACAAACTATGAAGATTAACAATGATATTATACTGTTACAACAACGATGATCAACAAACTATGAAGATTAATCATATTATGCTGTTACAATAACGATGATCAACAAACTATGAAGATTAACAATGATATTATGCTGTTACAATAACGATGATCAACAAACTATGAAGATTAACAATGATATTATACTGTTACTACAACGATGATCAACAAACTATGAAGATTAACAATGATATTATGCTGTTACAATAACGATGATCAACAAACTATGAAGATTAACAATGATATTATACTGTTACTACAACGATGATCAACAAACAATGAAGATTAATAATTATATCTATAGTCTAAATGTAATGTAAATGATCTTAAATTAAATAACACTTTATAAGATTAGGAATAATATTGTAGTTACTAAGGGTGTCCAAACTGTTGTTTTAAATCAATAAGATATAACGATAATATTCAGCAGTTATTTAAAAATAACTGCTGAATATTATCGTTATATCTTATGAAGAATTAAATATCTGCTGAATATTATCGTTATATCTTATGAAGATCATTAAATAACTGCTGAATATTATCGTTATATCTTATGAAGATCTTTAAATAACTGCTGAATATTATCGTTATATCTTATGAAGATCTTTACATCTTTAAATAACTGCTGAATATTATCGTTATATCTTATGAAGATCATTAAATAACTGCTGAATATTATCGTTATATCTTATGAAGATCTTTTCATAAGATATAACGATAATATCCAGCAGTTGTTGTTGGACGTCTGTTAAATGGAAAACAGCTTTCTTTCGACGTTGGTCTACAGAAATCCATTTTCTATTTTCATGCCGCCACACAAGGCTCCGTGTAGTTATTTAAATTTGTTGTACGTCTGTTAAATGGAAAACAGCTTTCTTTCGACGTTGGTCTACAGAAATCCATTTTCTATTTTCATGCCGCTACACAAGGCTCCGTGTAGTTATTTAAATTTGTTGGACGTCTGTTAAATGGAAAACAGCTTTCTTTCGACGTTGGTCTACAGAAATCCATTTTCTATTTTCATGCCGCTACACAAGACGCCGTGTAGTTATTTAAATTTGTTGTACGTCTATTAAATGAAAAACAGCTTTCTTTCGACGTTGGTCTACAGAAATCCATTTTCTATTTTCATGCCGCTACACAAGACGCCGTGTAGTTATT